ATTCCGGCGATATACAAATCGTTGCAGGCATCATTTAAAGCTGGTATGGATGAAGTCTCAATAGAGGCACTTTCTCTTTGGTGGTAGACCGCACTAAGTCGTTGGAGTGGCGCCTCAGCCAACTGGATGCTATGGAGCGAATGATTAAGGAGAATCTGGATGTGTTCAAGCAAGCTATACTCGAGGACATGCATGTGTAAGGAAGTAGTTTTATGATATTTTGAGTTGGTCGGATCCTGGAGTTGTGACTTTTGAAATGTATTGTAACTCTTGTGTAGGTCCCCTATAGAGAGCGATATGATGCAAGTGTCACTCACGTTGAGCGACATAAACCTTTTCAAGGCTAATATCGAATCCTGGATGAAGCCAGAGAGGGTCTCGCCGAGTCTGATTAGTCTTCCAGGTCGGCCTACATACAATTCTCTACCTACTTATCGTCTGGTTTCAGCTAAAGCGGAGATTCTGAGCGAGCCGTTGGGAGCAGTGGTTGTGTATGGTGCGTGGAACTATAACTTTCTCCTCACCTTGCAGCCCGTGGTTGGCGCTATCGCTGCTGGCAACTGCGTAGGAGGACACTTCTCAGTGCTGTTTGATTCCTTGCCATGCTGCTCTGCTGTAGGTCCTTATCAAGCCTGGAGACTACGCAGTGAGGAGCACCCAAGCCATGATGCAGCTCATACCGCGCTACATGGACCAGAACTGTATTCGAGTCGTCAGTGGCGGACCGGAACTCAGTGATGCTATACTTGAGCACGAGTGGCAAAAGATATTCTACACTGGAAGTCAGTGCCTCTGTGATGACATTCCAACCATATCACTCACTGCGACAGGCACTAACGTCGGTCGTATTATTTACCAGAAAGCCGCCAAGTTCCTAACGCCCTGTACACTGGAGCTGGGCGGGAAGAGCCCGTGTATTGTGGACAGTACAGCTGATCTACCCATAACAGCCAAACGTAAGCGACAACAGCATCAGCAGCAATCTCCTTTGTATAGCATAGTCTTCTACAGGTCTCGCATGGGGTGCATTGGCCAGTGCTGGACAGACATGTGTTAGACCAGATTATGTGCTGGTAATGTGGATGGTCGGAGATGTATGCGAGCCTCTATCGTGGCAACTATAGGTGCACCAGTCTATTGGCGATAAGCTGGTGGAGACGTTGAAAGCCACCATTAAGTACTCCTATGGGGAGAGTCCTAAAGATTCCCCGTGGTTTGCTCGTGAGTATCGGTCTCGTTGTGCCCTTTATGGATTTATTCTTCTGCAGGTGTCATCAACCAACGTAATTTCGATCGGGTCACTAGCCTATTCGAAGGTTCCGAAGACCTCGTAGTGTTGGGTGGCTCGAAAGATCTAGACCGCAAAGAGTGGTAGGTATGCTATCTCGTTCAGTAGTAGTAGTAGTAGTAGTAGTAGTAGTAGTAGTAGTAGTAGTAGTAGTAGTAGTAGTAGTAGTAGTAGTAGTAGTAGTAGAAGTAGTAGTAGTAGTAGTAGTAGTAGTAGTAGTAGTAGTAGTAGTAGTAGTAGTAGTAGTAGTAGTAGTAGTAGTAGTAGAAGTAGTAGTAGTAGTAGTAGTAGTAGTAGTAGTAGTAGTAGTAGTAGTAGTAGTAGTAGTAGTAGTAGTAGTAGAGTATCCCCTGGATGGGCAGGACTTTCATCCGTCTTTAGCGATTTACTGATGGTTGTTGTGAATCGTAGTTACGTTCCCCCCACAATTATCAATTTCCGTACGGATAAGCAACGCTTCTCTGCGGCGAAGGTTATGCAGGTATTCTTCTATTCCGACGCGTTGCATGATGTCAGTGTTTTCTCCAGATGGAAATCTTCGGACCTATTATTCCGGTCTGTTATTACAACGACTTCTCAGAATGTGTGGACTTTGTAAAGTGGGTAGAACGTCGGCGTGGTCTTTGTTGACTCCTGTGCAGGTCTCGGCCTTCCCCGTTGGCTGCCTATCTCTTCTCATCGGACCCCACTTTGAAGGAGGCGTTCAAGCATAACATCCACTCGGGCAGTCAGGCGATCAACGGTGAGTTCACTGTGGCCCTTTTGATCCGGTTGACTTTACTGTGAAATTCTTGGGTCAGATACTATGGTGCAACTGAGTGTGGAGGACTTGCCCTTCGGGGGCACCGGAGCTTCAGGCTTCGGCGCGTATCACGGCAAGCATTCGTTCGATTGTTTCTCACATAAGAAATCTGTAATATTCTCATTCGTTGCACGGATAATACTCAGCTTGTCCTTAGGTGCTGTCTCGTCCGACCGTTCTTGATGCTCCCCAACGTTATCCTCCCTACAGCAGTATGGACGCTAAGGTCTTGGGTGTGATCCTCAATGCCAAGGCGAGTTCAGTTACTCTCAGCCCAGACAATAATGGTTCTTCTCAGGCTTCTTTACTGTGGGGGAAGATGTCTAGTATGATGACCACGAAGAATGTCGTGGTCTTCATTGTCTTGGTCTTGGCGTAAGCATTCCATCATCGTGGAATTTGCAACTTTTCTTGGCAGGTTCTTACTGAGGAAAAACATCGCCAGATTCGTTCTCGAGTGAACTTTGTGGACTTGTGATGACAATGACTCATAAAGATACTCATTGACTTATGAAGATACTCATTTTGTTCAACGATATCAATATACCAGCTTGCGTTATTGAGTGTCTATCGGCTTCCTATGGCCGTCATCTCTCGTTGTGGGACTCGTCAAATGCCAATGCAAAGGGGTCATACCGAGTTTGATGAGGTCAAGCTCGCGCCACTATGCCCAAGAGGTCTCGTACAGATAGAGTGGAGGAGAGTTGTGAAGTAGAGACGAACACCGAATGCTGGTTCATAATTCCAAGAAAACCAACGAGAAACTCTCGCCGGCTAACAGAAACACCTTGACTGATTCGATCAGGGGAGGATGCTTTTATTTCTCTGTCGCTCCTCGTTTTCACTAGAGGACAATCTCTTCCCGGACTAGTCACTACTAACCCAACTCGATAAGGATCAAAAGGATTTTCATATGCGGTGTTTGATCATCATCTACTCGACAATATGGTTCAATGATTGTAGTTCGAAGAGCTAGTCCAATAAATAAAGACAGCACACTCTAACAAAGGGAGCAATACTGTTCATCCTCAATACCACTGGGTGTTTGATGATAATCCAAAACCAAAAGGGTATCTAGATGCCGGTAAGTTGTCGCTGTTCGCGGCTCCTCCTCCTAGACTGCTGATCACCGACATCCTCAATGCTGCTGTAACGAGCCCCGCCCAAGGCTTGCATCCCAGAGGCTCCATGACGGGGTAGGTAAGGCACTGCATCTTCCTTCCAGCGCTGGTCGAACTCGGCAGCATTCTCTTCAGTGAGGCCGCCACGGAACATATCTTGCGTGTTCTGATCACCTGTATTGCGATTGCGGCTACGGACAACTCGGCGGCCTGAGAACCATATCGAATGAAATAGAGAAGCATTTTCCAGCACTCACCTTGTTCACCCATGGTCCTTTCCAAAGCCATTTTGTCCAGACCGGTACCCGAGTTGGTATACATCTCCTGCTGTTCCCGTAGTCTCCTCTCTGCATCACCTACGGTAGAGCTCTGGTACTGCTCAGTGACCTCCTTCCCATCGGGACCCCGACAGGTAGAGGACACATAAACCTGACGGAGCCATCAGACCTCGAGGCATTAGCCTGGGAACATCCTACCTGACTCGAATATTGACCTTGTTGAGGCTGCCCAGCAGATAACATGCCTCCGAATAGTTCATTGCCGCCACCAGTACGCGTAGCAAGAGACATGTCCCTCTCCATCCCTCTCATCATACTGTCCATTGCCTGAAAACCGCTGTACACCAACGGCAGTGAAAATCGAGTAGCACCTGTTCCTGTTCCCGGAACATCCGGTCGAACGCGCCGAAACCAAAGAGGTCGCCTTGAGACTGCTCCACCCGGCGGGCCAGCTGTCTCTCGGCTTCGTAGGCATCATCACGACGTGAGGATCTGTTGAACATTTTAAATGGAAACCTAAAGAACACGTCAGTGGGATACAAAGTAAATAGACCCGTGAACACAAAACTACGATCGGCAGAAGCAACACGTAAGCGGCTCAGCCAAAGTGCATAATACAGATATAGAGAAAGTGGTGCCACCTTGGAGTCGATTACCCACGACTCACGCATTGTCAGAAGGGACCACTACGAATACAAACCTGACCACACAGCCCAGCAGACGTCGGCCAGGTAGCTATTGTCTGGGCCTAAGTGGGTCCAGGTTGGGAACAACTGATAGCAGAGGTCTGGCCGCGTCCTTGAAACCCGACACCGCGACAAAAACCACAACCTCAAACGTCGAGTGCTACGTAGATACTACATACACAGCCACCAGCTCAGACGCAATAAAGTGGGGTTCCACCGAGCATTGTGTTGGGAGTGTACACAGTCCCTCCGCTGAACTCAAAACGATGACAAGGACTCGGGGTAACAACAATTGTCTCTATGACTCTACCATCAACACAGTACCATCACCTTGCCTTCGACATACAGGCTGGCGACTTCCCCCATGGCTTATCATAGCCAATGAGTTGTGAACCCTATCATATATCATTAGAAAGCTCTCTCCGAGTACTAAATGAATGTGTATTCAACCCTTCCATTCACTGAGATGTTCAGCA